AAAAAAAATACACAAAGCACACAAAGCAGTGGGCCATCTTCTGATAGACTTAATTGCATAACTATTTATTATGGAAATATTTGATTTTTAAATATACATACATACATAAATAAGGATTATATTGCATATTTCAAACCAGCGAAATTAAAAATAAAAGTATAAATACAAATATCCTTAAATTTAATAAATGTGCGATATACGTGTAAAGAAATAAATATAAATAGTTTATAAAAAACGTTGATATTTTGATATTGGATTCCACATGATTAGATTGTTCCTAAAAGGGGTAAGGAGTCTCGATTCAAATCTCTTAAATGTCTGTATGACGAACTACATAAATCATTTGAGCAACATCCACTGCGCGACGTACTGAGAATGGCAGAAAGGGCAATAACTTTTTACGTAAAATTTCAAATAGTCATTTCACGCATTTTATTGGATTTGTTTTTATCTTTAATACCAAGTTCAATAGCTCCATAACGGGTTCTCATCATTTTACCTAGTCCTTTCAGAGTTGAGTACGTATACACAGTATTGGACATACCATTCGCATTTCGATTAAACTATGTTTGCCTGTTAGTGTGCCCGATAATTCGAGCCAAAACTGAGATATCTGAACTTAATTTGGGCCCCTATTATGGTTCACAACTCAACTTAGTTTATTGCTGTTCACAACTTGCATGAATTGCAAAATATTACTACTTAGCAATAGAGAAGCAGATCCACATGAACTTCAATCATATGTACCATCAGCTTATAAATAGATATACATATGCCATAACGTGTATCATTATTTTGATTCATTTTTACTTCCTTTCATACGATGGTGGTCATCAAGGGCTCCCGGTTGACTGGAGGGGGGTAGTGGATGAGGTCTGCACCTGCGACTACGCTTCTTATTCTCCTGTACCTGCCACCCTGACTCATGCGACGCTGAGGAGGTCCGACTGGGAGATCTACGGTGCCTACTGTTGGAACGGTGCATACTGCTGGAGCGATGCCTGCTCTCCGAACGACGCCGGCCCCTGGACCAGCGTCGACTCTCGGAGCGGTCACGACTCCCGGAGCGACGCCGGCTTTCAGTCCGATGCCTGTTTGCAAAGCGATGTCTGCTCTTCGGGAGTAATGCTTCTGCTCTCTTGAGGCCTTGCGAACGATGCTGCGCCTGATCCACGCCGCCGCTGCTGGTGCTTGGCTTCTCTTCTTCTCTGGCGTGTTCAATGAAGAGGGCAGCCTAATCCTCGGTCAGGCTCTCAAAGAAGCTACCTCTGCGCCTGGTGCCCTTACCCCCGCCCAGCATGTTACTGCCGTGCGTGGCCGTTGCTGTTTTTTGTGCTGTTGTTGCTGTTTTCGCTGCAGTAGTTGCTGTTGCTACTGTTGTAGCGATAGTTGCAGTTGTGGCTATTGCTGATGTAGCTGTCGTCGCTGTTTTCGTGATTGTTTTCGCGCTTGCTTTACTGTTTTTGTTGTTGTTTTTTGTTTAGTTTTATACATCTTGTTCGTACGACTGCCTGCTCGACGAGGCGAGCTCAGCAGTCAATTAACTGGAAGGCGATCTCATCTGGTCCACCGCGCCAGCGCCCCATGTCGCAGTAAGGCCACCATTACTCCTCGATGCGGCCCGGTGTCGAAGAGGCGCCGTTATACTACAGCCGGTTTATATCCTCCTGGCTGCAAACCGTCCTATAGGCACGGTGTCGCATCACACCCTGGATTAGGAGGTGGCAGTTCTTGGTGAAATAGGCTAGTATTCGATTCGAGAACTAGGCCATTCTCCAGCAAAACGGAACCTTCGTTATCCAATGTATTTTTCTTTCGTTATGAATTCGAAATCCAGCCCATTATCGAATTGGAATTTTAATGAGAGAGATTTTCTTATATTTCCTTTCGAGAATGAGCCGGATATCACTTTCTCTCTTGTTACTATGGTTTCCATTTTTTCGAACACATCTCGAGTGTATTTCCAATATACTATAAACGTTGGAAAGCTAAGGTTGGTTATGATTTGGTTCTCAGTTCGATAGTCATATTGGATATCGAAGGTCATTTTCGAACGTTCGCCAAAATGTTTATTGGGATGCTGCGATCAGCTTATACATATTTCCCCTCACCTGCGCAATCTGTTTTGGTGTCCTTTTGTCTCTGCCAGCACCTATGTAACTGTTTTTACACATGCACGTGTTTGCAAATTGATGATTTGTATGGAAAAGCATTTATGCGCATATATTTGAATAAAATAAACATATTTAGAAGATATCAACCAATACTTCCCATATACGAAACGAAAGAAAAATACAACAAAAACAAAATCATTCGAGCGGTTTTCGACATTTTGATATTTAAAAAAAATTCCAAATTTTTTCAACAATTTTTTGCCTTTAAATGCTCGATATTTGTTGAATTTATATAAAGTTGGTATACGAAAATATTTCTACTGCTCCAAAGAACTTATATCCCGAAAATTAGAGTTATATCTGCCAACCATAAGCTGCTAGAGCACTTAAAGGCTCAATAAGCCAATATTTACCGTTGTTTCTATGACAGACAACGAATCAGTTACTTACATAAATGTATCTGTCGATAGGTTTGAAATTTTGTCTTTGAAACGCCACAATTTTCTTTGAAATCGATTTACTAGTTCTCGTGCAATAAGCGTTTTCGTGAAACTCTAAAAATTACAACTACAACATTTGAGCATAGCCTCCATATAGAAACGTAAGACGTATTCTACGTCAAAATGGAAATCAGTTACGAATTATGTTTTACCGTTGAGCTCGAGGAAGCTGGTGCCAGACAACTACATACGTTTTGTCTATGTGGACGGCTGCATTTGAATTCATGTATTCATTATAATGACTATAGTCAGTTGTTCAAGCGACGCCAACGCCAACGCAACGCCAAAGTTCTATGTGGGCGGGCCTCAAGTTATTTCCGTAAGTCCTGGAATTTTGGCATAAAATAAGAAAAATATTGCTTTAGCGCAGCAGCCACTTCACCAATCCCCACTAAACTCGGTACGAACATTGCTTACAGGTAAGCTAAAAAACCTCTAAAAATGTTCGAAATCGACACTAACCACGCTCAACTCCTATATAACGGTAATTTACATAATATGAAAACTGTTTTATATTAGGAACTACTTAACTCGAAATCGACATTCGCAATAACTTTTTAGCACTACATGAGATTTTTGCAGTTTTGTAAACTACATACATACTAGAGTTGGGCACTTAAGTTCTTCTTTTGAATGAACCGTTGCGTTTTAGTTCGTTTACGTTAGTGAGTTAGTTCTTTAGTTCATTTAGTTCAATTTATGAATACATTTATTTATTTATTTATATCGACACCTGGGTTGAAGATCGACCTACATATCTCGGCAGCCAGTTCGAAAATGCCCTATCTTGGCAAGGAACTGAAGCAGCAACAATGCTAAAGCGTTTTAAAACGTATCTGTAAAGATGGGTTTTTGCTCGTGCCAAGAATGTTTGGATCGTGACCCAAAATGAGAAAAGGCCGAACTAGCGAAGTAGTTCATTGAGATGAACTAGTTCTTTAGTTCGTTGAACCACGTAAGCCTAATTAAAGTCTATACATAGTCAAATATTTTGTTGTTTACGTCCATGTTTTAACAAATATAAGGTTCTTTGCTTTCACCACGTTCTGTTTTCGTTTACAAATGCAACCCTGCCTATCGTTTGATACTTTTCATGAACCTATAGGAAGAAAAGCTCCGGACTAAATCCTGTAACTTCTGACTAGGAACAGTTGCTCAGTTACTCTTCTAAAAATGTTCCCTCTTACAGTTTTTTTTGTCTATGGGAACGACTTCTGACTAAATCCTGTAAACCGCACTGCTATTGGAACAGACTACATGGCTACCAGAACAGCAACTAGCACCAGTTGCCATATAAAATAGGGCCATTAGCAACAACTTACCTCAATTATTCTTAACTATGGATTCATTCACTTCATTTATTGTCAATTGAATTTGCTGAAGTACTGCATTTACTGAAGTGTGCAATAGTGCACAGTAAAAGTAAAACCATTTGCGCAGCCCTCTAATATGTATGACGCTAATTAACGTACAACATTCTTTTAACATCCCACAAGATAATTTAGGTAGGCCTTCTTAAGTGAAGCCATTCTAAAAGGGCGACCCAAGAAGGAATGAAGAACGTGCTTCCCTGCAAGGGGTCTAGACGAGCTTTCTATACTTATAATTTACACGAAAGTATAAGCTTATGTTGTTTAGCATTACAAATGAATTTAAAAATGCATTTTAGATTGCAATAAAACATATTTGATATGAGCCTTAAATAAATACCTTAAAGAAGCAAGCTTTATAAGAACTCCTCCAAAGGCCTTCTGAAATGTGTCCTTCAAAAGCCGTTCTGGAAGCCCTTCTATGCCTTCAATTTATGCCACTACATACAAAAAAGTAAGGAGAAAGAAAAGCAGAGTGGAAGGCCTCTGGAATCTCAAGAAGGCCTTTGGGCCTGAAATTATCTACTGGGATGTTATAAGATTATTACAGATTTTTGGGAAATAGGTGTAGCTCCGTCCACTTTTGACAACATAACATAACATGTTGTTGCTCTAGCGGCTATACACTCCGCTCGGATCGGCTCGTCCATCAACGTTGTCGTCAGGCTCAGCTAAAGGGAGGCCCAGGAAGTGCGCAACTTCCACTGGGTCTGTCCATAGGGACAGGGGCGTCAGCTGGATAGGGTTTCTGGGGGCATGCGAAGAGGTGCCGTGAGTCATGTGGCGACTCTCCGCATGCCGGGCTTTCATTGGGCACATTTGCGTTCACTCTGCTCTGGTACGAGTTTAGCCTGCTGCAGTAGCCAAAGCGAAATTGAGCTATTGTGGTGCGAGTCTCTGGAGGCAGACATAGCTCTGTCCCGTCCGTCTGACGTCTGGCGGTTCTGTTAGTATATAGTAAAGAAAAACTTTAGCTAGCACGTGTATGGCAATAAATAATACTCGCATCCAAATGAATGTTTAGCGCGAACTGACTTTAAATTTTCACAAGTTTTGACTTTGACCAGATATAACTCACTCACCAGAATATGTTTCCGTACAGTGTTTTGAAAATTTTGGTCACATTTCATCGAATTTTGCGAAATTTTGTAAAAACTTTGAATCATTAATTTGTATGACATTTGATGCAGAATAAAGTCTATTTATATAAAAAATTAACCCAAAAAAAATTATTACGAAAAATATTGCAAGTATTAAAAATAAACACTGTACGGAAACATATTCTGGTGGGTGTATGGATATCAATTAGTTAAAAAAAAATATAAATAAATAATAAAAAATTTTATCAAACTCTGGTGGCGGCCCCTAAAAATTTAACATAAAACACAATAAAGAGGTGCTCTATACAAAATATAGATTTTGATAAGACCACCCTAATGCAAATTTTTAAACGCAATCGAAGGTTACTGAAATCTTATTTATTTTTATTTTTAGATATATCACAGCCGCCTAACGTTGCCGTGAAAACAATTGTCTCTCAACCTGAGTGCTCGCCGCGCGCCGTTAATATGGCAATGTCTCCCTCACCTACTAGCCCACTCCCTCAACAACAGCAACCTGCTATGCAACTCCAGCACCAACATTCGCAACAACAGCAAATGGGAACAAAACGCAATAGAGTGCTCACGCGTCAACCGCGTATTAAACGCGATAGTGATAGTTTATCAAATGCTCAAGCTTCACCCGAACCGACAGGTTCATGTATCGACTTTGATCCCTTCAGCAATTCCCCCGGCAGTAGTACGCATTCAAATTTTGCGCCTGCCCATGCTCACCAGCTGCATACACAACCCACACACCACCACCACCACCACCAACACTTGTTGACTGTGCCGCCACGTATTGAACGTCACTCTTCCGAACCAGCACCGAGTTTGACTCCGTCTTCACCACATTTATTATCAGTTCCGCAGAATTCACCCTTCCTTATGAAACAGCATTCGGATCCGTTACTGCCCACACAGCATTCGCTTAGTGCTGCCGGCTCATTAATAGTTGGTGGCGGTGGCACAAACCCCTTTGCACCGTTACATCGTCAGTTTTCACACCCACTTTCGGGCACAACCACTAACGCCAGCAGCAGCAGTGCTGGCACGAGTCATATCACCAACATTTCGTTGCATCATCCACAACACATATCACTACCGGAATCAATGTACACGTCCGGTGGATCACCACCGCCAGCTGGGTCTTCGCAATATGTAGTACCACATCAAATCGTATCAAGTGGAAGCGGAGGATCGTCCAATGAGGTGATCGGCACTATGAGTACATCATCTACAGCCGCTAGTCCTTCAAAAATGCTCACCCTACCACAGTTTACTACAACTTATATTGATGACAGTGGTACAGGTGGCCGGACTGGTTCACCGACAACCTCATCATCCATTACTGGCGTCCAAGGTAATACATCAAGCGTTAGTTCGGCACCATTGGAGGGCGTTCGATCTTCAGAATCGAACACACCACCACCGACGAGCAATTTTCGTAGTTCAAAATCCGCAACGGGTGCTCTATTATCGGAGCGTAGAAGCAGTTTGCACCCTGGAGCCACTGCTACGAGTAGTAGTTCGTTTGAGCACTTACCCTCTTTGCGAGTCAAGAGTGAGGAGTTACAAAGATCGGTGTCTTCTCCACAAGTGAGTACCTAAATAAATAATTTATCTAAATAAGTTAATAGTAAAAAACATATATATTTTTAAATTAAGTTTTTTTTTTAAATATGAACCGAATCGGACCATAGATACGGGTTTTCCAAATATCTCTACTCCCACGCCACCTATCGACAAATTTTTTGTACAGTTATGCCTTTTCATATACATACATAGGTAATAGGTATTATTAATATAAACTAAATCTGACCGTAAATGCGGGATTTCAAAATATTTCGACCCCGCGCAACCTGTTTTTTTTTTTGCTGACGCTGCTAGGCATTTTCTCCCATATAAAGAGAAATTTTGAGCATTGTCGGCATAATTTATATGGAAGAAAATGCATGACACTGCCACTTAAAAAAATTAAAAAAAAAAAATCAACGCGATTTTCTAGAGTCTTGAAACTTGCACTTTATCCTACTAAAATTTGACTGCATACTTAAAATTTTTCCAAAAGTTCTGAATAATAAGTTCTAAAATTTTTAAGGGGGTTTTGGGAATTTTAGTTGAATTTTCATAATTTTTGTACAAATTTCTGGATTTAAATGGTGCTTGTTATATAATACGCTATACTGTTACAAAAAAAATATTTAAGATCGAATAAAAAATAAATATAGCTAAAACTGCTCAAAATAAAATGTTTCTATTATTTCTTCCACCACTGTATATACATACATATGTATGTCTCTGTCGCAATAGTTAGTTCTGTGACCGAACCGAATAAGGTTAATATCAGCTTTGTCCATCTAGAAGTGTTTAAAAAACTTAAAAAGACTAATTCACGAATCTGAGAGGCAAAATTATAAGCATTTGCGTCCTCTTGAGGGAAGCAAAGGGAACTTCTTGGAGGGATTTCTATGTATAGTGGCATCCAGAGTACTTCCGAGACTGCCTTGTTAAGAAAAGTTCTGTCGAGATCTTCGAACCCGATCGAGTTTCTGCAGAAGCAAGCCGGTTCCTGGAGCGCGATGGGAAAGGAATTAGTAAAACTGCTTCTGGACACACATTTCCCAGGTGGTTCGCAGACAAAGCGCTCTCTGCACGCGCTCGTGCCGGGTAGTAAACATACCTGTCACATGGTATTGGCATAAACCGTTTTGCAGTATCACCGACGTTATGCAAATCCGCCGCATTTGAGTTAATCTGCCGCGCTTGGTGTTCCCCTACTATATCTATAATCGACATTCTTGAATTATATATTTATTATTGTTATAATGCATTTTTTATTTTATTTTTTTCAGACCTCTCGGGAGATCATCACCTTGGAAAATCCTCGTTCTAGTCATTGCCCCGTAATACGTCCCGGACCGGCTCTGGGTTGTAACTTTTGTTGGAACACAATAGATGGACATGGTAGAATTTTGCGGCGCAAAACTAAATACCACTGTCCCGAATGCCAAACGAATTTATGTATTGTACCATGCTTTCAAGAGTATCACGAACGACAAAATAGTGAAGCAGCAAATGCTTCGTCCGGAAATGATAACAACAGTAAATCATTCTCAGGAACCACCGGCAGAAGTGGAAGTAGCGGCAGTGGAGGTAGTAGCACTCGCCACTTTTCCAAAACTGAGTCCATTTGAAAGCGTTAATTGGTGACCGTATATACATATTTTGAGAGGTTTTTATTGTCGAACCGGCAGCATTTGCTGCTGGAAATAAAATTTGTTGTTTGTTAGGAGGGCTAAGGCTACCTTTGACTTTGGACCAAAGGTGTTAGTCATTTAAGTCCCGCCTCAAAAACATAAGCATATACTTAAACTCCGTAAGTGCGAATTGAGTTCGCATGAGGTGTAAGATATACTTACAATAAATATTTGTATGTAAAAAAAAAACTAAAAAAAAACTAAAGAGGTTATGTACTTGAAGCCACATTTGTATCTACCAAGAAACTACATACAAACGTATATATATAATTGTTTTCATTGTAAGACTTGTTGCTGTGCAACGAAGTCAATTTTGATGTTGAAGTATTTGCGACAGCACGGGTAAATGACATTTTGCAGGTGCAAATGCATGGCAATAAATTTTTTTGTGGGCCTTTTGTACAATATTGTTTAGTAGGCTTCGTGCGTAAGATGTTTAAGCACTAGGTATTGGTACAAAAGAAAAAAATATTAATATTTTTCACGAATTTTGTCTTTTAATGAACAACTCACTTTGATGTAAGATGGTTTATTACATAACTATACAAAAAAAAATTACTAAAAAAAACATACGTAAGCTAACATACTTATTATAACTAAGCAGAATTTGTTGATTGTTGCGCCACTAAGAAGTCTCCGAAAATTGGAGAGTTACTAACTACGGCGCCCTAAAAATTAAATTTGTTGTTTTAGTGCCATATTGCAATTCACTGTAAACTTAGGTGTTTTCGTGGCATTTGGTGAGTGGATTTTTAAATTGTGAAAATGCAGAATTACAATATGTACATACTATGTACAAGTTTTAGAATTGGCAAATAGGGATAGTTAAAAAATTAACTGTAAAATATTAATCGAACTGGTTTGATTTTGTTATTAAGCAAAAGATGAGAACCAAATTCATAGGATACATACATAGCATTCAAATGCTTAATAAATAGAAAAATTATAATGCTTTTAATTTTTTACTAAAAAGGCCATAAACCAGTGACCAAAAATAACCATTACCAAGATTTTTTGTTTTTTTCGATCAAGAATAATCGTTAAATTTGTATTGTTATTTTTTAGTCAAATTTGAGCGTTATTATGTGATTTTTAGTTTTTTCGATCAAAAGTAATGTGGTTTTGAATTTTTATTTTTTCAATCTTTTTAACATTAAAAGTATTAGAGACTACATTTTTGAGACCGTTTTAAATCTTTTGTCTACTAAACCAAATTTTAAAATAACGGTTTTGATTTGGCCGAAAAAATATAAATAACTACGATAAAAACTGTTTAAAAAAAAAAATCCAAAAATTACAATTATTCTTAATAAAAAAAATAGATTTCATAAAATAACAGTTAAATATGATCGGAGAAATATAAATCAAACTTTAATGCTTTAATTATGATTTTAAGATCGTAATCATTACGATCTTGGTTCTTGTCAAAAAATATTGATGGTTTACAAATTTTTTCAATACTGGCCAGTTAAGTCGTAGCTAAAACAAATTGATTGGCTTATGCGATAACTTAATACCATAGGGTATAAGCTTTAGGGTGGTCCTTTTTCATTCTTTATTTCTTCTTCATGCCAGACAATTGTTTCCGTTGTATGTATGATGAAACGTTTGATACCTGTATTGGCCCATTAAGTTAAGTTTGTCATCAACCGTTATAAATGAGTAAGAAGACTGTCTTCTTAAACTCATCAATATAGTGCATAAGTCTCTTTTACTTCTCATCCATGACGCGTAGTAATGTGCAAATGGCGCAACCATGAAGAAATGCCTATTTTTAACAAAGTTGCATAAATTGTGAATTAGAAATAAAAGTGGCTACTGTTTTGCATTAATGCGTTCACAAAGACAGCCAAAGTTTCAAGCGAAAGTTTAATGTAATTTTGAATCTAATTTAAGTAAGTATACTTACTCCTTCAATTTGAAATTATGTAATTTAATTTGCATTTTTTTGTTCAAATAATGTATGTATGTATTGATCAATATCATTATTAAACTCTCGCCCATAATATTTTCTCAGTCAAATTTATTCGTTGTAATCAGCTTTAAGTTTTTCGATTTTCAGGATAACTCGAAACGACCAAAAAAGTGTAGATATAAGAAAAAATTTTACCAATTATTATATCATGTATTTAATTACTAAAAATTATGAGCTGTACGGTCAATCCGATAAGGCGTCCGAAATATTTGAGAAACGGTTTATTAATTATAACTATATTCATATTGAGAACTAAAAGCTTTAGTATTTATGAGATTTTGATTCTCTTGTTGTCAGGATAGCAACCGAACTTCAATTGCGTTGCTAGTGGCGTAAATGGTATTACAGATGGCAACCGGCAACTGAGTTACTATATTGGCAACTGCATTTTTGTATATTTTGTAAATTATTATTTTTTTCGATTGTTTCTGCAGCTTTTTCGCACTGAAGTCTTAATTGCTGGTAGTTTAAAATTCTATTTGGGGTATTCACAACGATGTCCTAAGTGTCGTATTGTTGTATGTCATAAATTTTAAACGCCTAAAAAATATATTAAGGAAGTTCGCAAAGTACCATCAAAGTAATGTTTTGAATTTTCGCAGGGTTATAAATTAATTGGTTGTGGTTTCAAGTTCTCTAAACATTTATTTAAACAACAATACGACACCGTTTTGTGAATACCTCAATTATCTTCAAATTTATATCACTTCACTTTAGTTGCTATTCATATTATACATTTACATTTCAGTGCCGGTGCTCATCGGCAACCCAACTGCAAATAAATCACATTTGCTACTAAACTCTTGTTTAATAGTCATTCAGTGTGCTATTGAGCTTAGCTTAAAATTTTTTAAATTAATTATGTAGATAGATGTTCGTTCTTTGAGGACCACCCTTTCAACATAATACTTTGAATTTGGCGAATTAAAAAGCTTAGTATCATCTTTTGCAATTTGATTCTATGTTATGTGGGTTTATGAGCTGTAAATAAAACAAATACACTTAGGTCTCTTTGTATGCGGTACATGCGTTCCTCAGAAAGCCGCATAAAAAGAAAAAAAATCCGCATAAAAAAGTTCTTTACTTCCATACAAAATAGGCGATGCGATCCAGCATTTTCAAAAACCGCATAAATGCAGATAATCGGTGTAAAAAAATTCTAAAAACCGCATACAAAAATCCAGTGAGGCAATATTAAGCAAAAGAACAATTTATTTCTTCACTTCAACACTTATTATTCCATGTAAAACTGAACAATATTGAAATAAATAAAATTGTGTCTGTATTTTAACAAAAAAAAATAAATAAATAAATAAATACACGATTTATGTAAAAATACAAGGACAAATTATTTATCAGAAGCATTGTCTCTTACACACTGAAAAAAGGCATAAAAACTCTCAAAAAACAAAATGGCTACAGCGAAAAAATATGGTTTGAAAAACCGCATAAAAATCCCACATAAAAAGAGACCTAAGTGTATGTAACTATGTATCACACATTGCTGCTAAATTATTTTTTCTACAACTGCTTACGTTGCTAATTCCATTGATTTTTAACCTTCCTCACGCTTGGTACAAAACAGAAAGATTCTGATCAGCACATTTTCGCAAAAGATTAAAATAGCGTGCTTACAAAGCAATTATGGCTCGACTTTGTATGCGAGTTGTTTCAAAATGTTGATGTAAGGTAAATGTGGTTTCACTTAATTAATGAAAAATCACAACCCGCATGCACTTTCATTGATGTTTGAGTAGATATGTTTGTATTTATATATGTAAATGATTTAACCCATATATATTTTTTTCAAAAATTCATATCTCCAATCGAATGGGAGTCAAAAAATTTATCGAAGCTGATATCAACAATCCCACCAAACGATTTTTGTTGCCTACGTCTCGCCCTCGGCAACAAATTTATTGCCGGTGATATCTCCATCGTATCGATTTCTTATTGCCAGTCCGCCGAAGGCAACTCGCCTGGGCGAGTCGTTTTCTTATTACCTGAATGAGTCGTTTTCATATTAGGGGTATTCTCCAAATCTTGCAAAGCCATTGCACGTAGCACGGAT